TTTTTTCTTTCCACATACAGGATATGTTATACATTACCATTTAGATATTTAAGTTTAGCTTTTTGTAGGAAATTTGTGGGTTTTTTCGATGTGACCATAGCGTAGTTGGGTTTCCTGTTTTTTTTTGTTGGTTTCTTTTTCTTTTTTTTTTTTTTATTAGGTCTGGAAAATCTTACAGTCTGTTTTCAATTGAGAGTTAAAAAAAATACTGTTTCCCAATTTCTGCATGTGTAAGTAGAACCTGCAAAAATGAAAGATTAAAGTACTCGAGGAGTTCAACACTGGATGATTAGGCAAAATAAGCAAGTTTAAAGAAGGGAATTTAACCAGCAAAACAAGAGATTACTCAGTGTCTTAACAGCAGGAGACAGCTTGTTGCCAGCATAGTGGGCACTGCAAAGAGGCATTGATCCTGGACGGGGAAATGGGAGTTGAAATGCACTTTGAATGCAAAGTTCATTTTGCAAGGAAGCAAACACTCTGTCTTTGTACTGAGTCCAGCAAGCTGTCCATGCATCGAGTATGTGGGTGAAGTTAAAACTGCGGCTTAAACTGAAACAGTGGTTTGACATTACTGAAATGGAAAAGGTCTTCTGCTTTTTCTTCCTTCTGTCTCTGCTTCGTCCCGTGGTTCCTGGTCCCATGCTGCTCCCTCATATGTCTCCTTGCACAGGCTCTGGTGTTTATCCCTTGGTAGCTCACAGAGAGCTATAGCTGAAAAGCCTTAGCAGAAGGACCCAGTGAATAGAGCAGAATTTTCTGTTCGTAAGCAGGAGTAGGCTGAGGTAACTAGTTCGTAGGTGGCAAACTGTTGGAGCTGCTCGGCTGTCCCTTGCAACTGCACCCTAAATATATGTGAGCAAACATTCAGCAAAGCTTTGGTATAACGCGTAACTTCCGTGCCGCTCTTTACAGTCATGCACCTATTCGTTGTTCTTGGAAGTTACACAGTAAGTATTCACTTCAAGGACTGTATTTTTTTTAAAAAGGTTTCTAAACCGTTCTTTTGAACGCACTGAAAAATGTCTTCCAATTGAAATTCAGTGAGAAAGCTTTTAATGAGATATAAATTTGCTCTAGTATTGTTAACTGTAAGAGTAAATTGGTTGTTAAAGTATGTTAAATGCTGGATTTACAACTTTATTTGGCAACTGTGAAATCCATTGTATTTTTTATGTAAAAACATGTTGGTGGTCACTTGGCTGGACAAGTTACTTGCTGATTCACTAAGCTCAGTTAGTGAAGTATGGTGGTGGTACAAGCTCTTCAGAATTATATGGGTCCAAAATAAAAGCACAGAGTGTGCATATATTTCCATAGTACTCTTGTTTAGCTTTTGTCTGTCTTATGAGGTGGAACAAAAATATCAAAATAACAGCAGGTGGCAAAATTTATGCCAAATTTTTGAATAGAAGCTGAAATTCCCAATGACTTATACTTCCCTGTTCGCCACCTTGTTTTAAATACCTAATGAATGCTGACATCCTCAACCCTCTCTCATGTCATTCTAACCTGTTACTGCAGTAGTTTCTGTGCGTTTCATTTTTGCATTGTAAACCTTTCCTTGCTTTTTCCTATGGATCTGCCAGTTTTTCCTATCTTTGGTGGTTGTTCTTAGCGGTATCGTTTAATCTCAGGGTACGTAGTCCTAGGTAAGCATTGTGCAAGTACTAGAAAACTCAGTCCTGGATCCCGGAATATTAGATAAAAAATGAATAGTAAGATGAAGGATGGAGATAATAAAATCAGTAAGTTTTTGGAGTAGTGTACTAATATAATACTGCTAATAGGAGAATGAAAATGCTCTGAGAAAGATTTGTGGCCACCTTTGCTTTATAAAACGTAATCTAGATCTTACATGGACAAGGAAATAAGAAATGGAATAATTTAGGATGAGTCACAAGCAACTGATAAATTGAAAGCAAGTAGCAAGAAAGACTGGAAAAACAGAGTTTGTGGCAAGATGTGTGACCTAACTGACTGCAGAGTTATAAGGGAAGAAATGTAGATAGCTGAAGTTTTTAGGTTGAAGAATAGAAAAAAACAAGGAGGTGAACATTAGAGATCTTAAGTTTTGCCTACAAAGGGTGGATGCTGTTCCAGAAGAGGGGTGGCAGCTTTGAGCATGGGGTGGAGAGATTTTAAAGTAAATTGAGGTAAGGATGAACCCAGAAAAAATCCTGAAGATGGAAATAAAATAAAACTGCAATAGAGAAAGGAAAAAACATCATCAGTGGCGGGCTGCGGATCAGTGATCAAGAAATGGTGGAAGAAAAGAAATGCAATTACTTGCAAAACAAGAAACAATGTTTAATAAAGATATGGTTTAGCAAATTGTTATTTTGGAGAATGTTAGATCCAATTAGGATCAAATGTGTGTAGGTAAGACCCGAGAAACAAATGACAATGTGTCATCTCACGTGAAGATGGCAGAATTCAAGAGGATCAGTAGCTCTATGGGGAACCAGTGTGTAGAGAAGAATGAGGGAGCAGTTGAAAGGTGTTCTGTTGCTCATTCGTTCTTATTTGCTGCATTGCTCGCTTTTGTTTCATTCAGAGCCTCAAGAAAATGAATGTGATTTTACATTTCACTCTTGCCTATTGTAATAAAAATACTTAAATTGGAATGCATGCATCTGAAGTTTTTCGTTCTGTGTGTAAAGACAAGTACACCAAAATAGAAATGTGCAAGACAAATTCTAGTTTCAATTTTATTTTATTGAATTCAAAGGATCAACAACATTAACTTTGAGATTTGATGAAGATTTTTCTGCCCTAGAAAATTACTCTGATAAATTTACCCTCAAAAAGAGGTTGGCTTACAGGTGAGATGTGATGCACTAAACTATTTCTGTTCTTTTCGAGCAAAAACTACCAAGGTTACAAAGAAAAGGTTCATGTCCAATTCACTACAGTCTCTTGAAAACACCAATATGCATTGCTAAATTTTCAGTCACACCTATAGGCCATTTAGTTTTCCATTTTTGGAGAAATCCAAATACCGAGCACATCAAAGTTCACCAGTTTATTCTTGAAGAGTGAGCTCTTTTATGTTAGATTGAAGCCTTGGCAAATAATTTTAAGAAAACTTGCAATTACATCTTTCTTTGCTCTTTTGGCAAATAATAGGATCTATTTTCAGCTATTCAGGTTTCTGGGAATATACTGAAAGAGCTAAAGGTATTTAGACCACTTCAGGCATCTAGCTTACCTTTTAATATTTTGATGCTATTACAGCTTGCGTTGTCAGTGATGGGAGATGAATTCATATACTACGTTGAGGGTTTGTACTAGGGCTAAAGGTACTGCAAACTGTGTGGATTTTTTGGTTAGACACCTGCTTTTCTGGTTTTTTTTCTCTTGGATAATTGGTGTCTCTGAACCTCTTTATATGAAGGAATCAATAGTGCTGCAAGCAGTAAAAAAGATAGACTGAGAAAAGTAAGTTTTATGGCAGAATTCCACGGTTTTCAGCATTCAGCTACAGTGAAACTAAAAGATATAAAATCAATTATGCTATATTCAATTGTGTTGAAAATCTGTTTTCTTCTGCAGTTAGTGCAGGCTCTGTAGTAGGGCTTAATCTGTTGTTCTGGAAATACAGCTATAACCACAGGCGTGCTCTGTAAATAGGAGACCTTACCATGAGGAATGTGGTTGTCTGTTATTTTAAACATGCATGTTTATTGATACTCAAGCTGGTTCAGAAAGAGGCGTTTCTTGAGTAAGTTCTGACTTTGCACAACAGAAAGAAACTTGGGCTTTAGATTTTCCTTTCTGTCTCTTACAGTGAAATATTTTACTGCTATGACTCGCTTACGCTTTGTTATATGCATGCTGCACTCTTAAGACAGTTCCTGGATGTTGGAATTGTTGACAAACTTCTAATGAATCACTCAGTGTTCTTGGTTTGTGTTCCTGTATGTTCTTATGCTGTGAATGAAAGGGAATTAAAGAGTTACATATTCAGTACTTTTTCCCAAAAGTGGATTTCTTATGCGTTCCATCTAGACCTGGTGTCTGCTACAGTGTAGTCGTAGGATATTTGAGAATTAAATTATAACTGTTTCCTTGAGACACCATTTGACAATCATACTCCTGTTCAGAAACTTTTAAAATTTTTTTCAGCCTATAATTTTTCTTCTATTTCTCTGTTATCAACTCTAATGCTCTTAAAATTCTTCTCTATCTTAAAATATTCCATCAGTGTTTTTCCTTTCAGTATTTCTTGACCAAAGTAAATTTGTAGCTATTTTATAATCTTCTGTTGCAAATCATTTTCCAGTCTCTTGATTATTCTTTTTTCTCTGAATTCCATGTAATTTGTCAGTACCTTTCTAATATTGAGATGCCTAGGAGTGAATACACTATTGCAAATATGTAGTTACCTCTCCTCATTATTCAGAGGTTATATTTATTATTGCTCCACATAGCAAATTCATACCTAAATTGCTGTCCACTATACTTGTAGGCTTTTTCCATTATTACTGCATCACAGATTTTTATCTACTGTTTCAGATCTTTGTTTCTAGTATGTATATTGCCAGATACTGTTCCTTGCATTTCCATTTCATAATTCTTTTATTTCATTCCATGTACATTTCTAAACTCCCCAAAGCTGGTATTTCTCTTGCTCTAGCAGGTTATTGAGGTTATCTTGCTTCTTGAGTTTGTTGCCTGTAGGACTCTTAGAAAATAATTTTGCTTTAACATTTATCCTTTTTTCTGCAAATATTTAATAACTTCTGCTGCTGCCATGGGGATTGAGTATTGAGGTTCTCCATCTTGTTTTTCTTAGCTTTCCTAGGTTTGAAAAACCTGCTCCCATTATCTCACTTATTTTATTAAGTGGTCATCATCACAGAAGCAGCAGTTGCTATGTGTGCATTAATTCATTTATACATGCATGTATATGTTGTGTGTATGTATGCATATACCTACTCATATATAATGCATTTACCTACTCTTCCATTTAAAACAATGCTATTTACCTGCAGGAGGAGGAAGAAGAAACATATGAGCAAACTCTAGAATTCCGCAGAGGAGGTGATGGTCAGCCAAGACGGTCCACACGACCTACTCAACAATTTTATCAACCCCCAAGAGCTAGAAACTGATTAATAAGAAATAAAAGGTAAATATATGATATTGACATCTTATTTATGGGGTTAGATTTCAAGAAAAGCAGAACTGTTTTGTTCTATTCTTCAGTGTTTTTCAGTCTTTGAAGTTTGTGAGAGAAATTTCTACTACTTTGCCTGTAGTTGATTGTATAAGAATGTTCAGCATTGGGTTGCAGATGATGAACATTTTGAACAAAGAAATTATTGTAATCACCTTTTTCCGAGCAAATAGACAAATTTCCTATAAAAACTTTGTTTCTCATTTCAAAAAAAAGGAAGTATTTGGCAACAGCACATGTATAACGTACTTTGTTTGATAGTGGTAATCTCTGCTTATAAGGAGCAAGCACAGAGCAGTGATTGCTGCACCTATAGAGAATATTGATATTAAATCAGTGTCTTACTATTGAAGTGAAATTTTTATGGTTGTGTCTCTAGTTTAGGAACCACTTGCTGTAGTCACCTACATGGAAGATGTGTTTGGCATATAGCTTCTACATTTTTTAGGGATATTGGTCTATTTATGACAGAGGTTGGCTATCTCTGTTTCTCTGGACTTTATGGCTGTAGAAAGAGATTTACTATACCTGTGGGAAGAGGGAAGGCAATAAAAACACTTTGGCAAATAACTTTTTAATGTTGCTTTATGTAAGGACTCATGTCATCTGAGCAAGGTTTTACTTGATACCTCTTCACCTGAAAGCAGCAGCAAGTTTCTCTCATTCACATACATTGGACCAGCTTCTTTGGAATAAGTGGCTGCAGTCCCTGCTGAACTCAGTATTGTCTGTCTCCATCCAAAGTCCGATATTCTACTTTTTATGAGCCATTTATGTGAATAAATATTTTTTCTATTGCTTTGCTTAGTATGGGAAGGAGAATTTGCAACACTAAAATCTAAAAATCCGTGAGCTCACCATTGAACAGGGAGGTACAAAGCCTAAGAATACTTACCATAATCTGAATCTTAAGGATATGCTTGCACCTATACTTTATTAATTAGCATAAATTAAGAGATTATATATCATCCTCAGAAAGATATACCTGTTACATACATTCAGAAATATAAAAAGGCCAACCAGATAAAACAGTTGTAATTTTTTTACTAAACAAATCAAGTGTGCTGTACTGCTCTCAATTTACTTGTGGATCTTCTAAATCCTTGGTTTTCAAACATTGATTAAAAGTCTATCTTGAATAAAGATAGCTTTGTAAAGTTGCATGCTATTTAATGTACATTTACAATGTGTCTTTGTCTTGAATCTGTTTTTTTTCCTTACTAGCCAGTTTATTTTTACTGAGCTCTTTTTAGTTCCTTTCCTTGCTCCGATCTTCCACCTTCAGCTGACTTCATAGGTGCTGTTGATCTCTGCAGCTTTTGATATTTCTGACATGTAATAACATGATTTTACTTTTTTGATCATATGTTAAAATACGTTTTCCATTTGGGGAAGTACTGGCAATATAAGAGCAAAATTTATTCCTGACTCCTGCTGAGGTGATAATTATTCTATTTTTGCTGATATAATTTGATTTTCTATTTTAAGTGAGTGTATCAATCACTACCAATAAACATGTCATGAGATAATTTATGCAGAAATAATTCTGGCGTGTGCACTGAGCTGAGTTTTAAACCGACTCAGTTGTCTCAGAGGAGTGTCAGTGTGATCAGCTGAATGAAATGTGCTCAGTGTAGACAGAAGTCAAAACCAGGGAGGCGTGTTTTATATCTTTAGGTAGTATTTTTTAATTCCTCTAACTTTACAGTATAAATCTGGAAAACTGTGTTTGACTTTGGTCAGCTGGGAGAGGGGGGAAAACAGACATCCAGAGAGAGTGGTAGTAGCTCCTGTATCTCAAGAAGATAGAATGAATTGGTGGCAAGTAAGGAACACCCTTTCTGAGGCACAGGTAGTGGTTCCTTGCAGGTTTTCTTATACCTTGCTTTGAAGTTTCTATCAGGATCCTGGACAATGGACAGCAGACGCAGTATCAAAACTTACCTACCTATTATAAAAAATAAACAGTTACAGCCCTTTCCCTGCCCCAGATGCAATACTGTTGTTTTCTGTCAGATATCTCTAAAGGCAGGCATTAAGATTCAGTTAAACCTAAAAGCATTTGTCAACAAGAAGCAATGGTCTCTTCTCATTCAGGAAAAAAAATCAAGATATATTTTAGAAAATGTGTCATGAAACTGAATATAATTTTTTAGCAACTACTTAGTTTGCTTTAAAAAGTACATATTTTATTGACAATACTTCCAGATACATCCTTCTTTTTAATCATAATTTAAAACGCTTCCTCAGTTGATGAAATTAGGTATTTCCTGTGTCCTCTTCTGGCCCAGGACTATTTACTTCAACATCTGCTCAAGTTAGATAGATAGTGCCAATTTGTCATCCAAAATTGAACCTATTAACAATGCAATGTACAATCAGTGGCAGCTTAAACCTGGTAAATTTTGACTACTGTTGTGAGTCTTACTCTGTTGGGATATTATGCACTTTATATTCTACAATACAAACAGTAAATATTGTAGGACTTTTACATACCTTAAATAGTTATATTTAAAGAATGAATAGCAATTCATTATGAGAAAATACAACTTACTGCTTGACAGGAAGATTCATGCCCTCTAGGTCAAAACATTCAGTGCCATCTTATTTGGCTGCTCTATTGGGTTTGTGTGGCAAGGTTTTGGTAGTGGTGGGGCTGCAGGGGTGGCTTCTGCGAGAAGCTCCCCCTGTGTCTGACAGAGCCAGTGCCAGATGGCTACAGGATGGACCCACCGCTGGCCAAGGCCGAGCCCATCAGGGATGGTGGTGGCGCCTCTGGGGTAACAGAGTTAAGAAGGGGGGAAAAAAAAGAATTGGCAACAATAATTGCAGCCAGAGAGATGAGTGAAAATATATGAAACAACTCTGCAGACGCCGAGGTCGGTGAAGAAGGAGGGGGAAGAGGTGCCCCAGGTGCCAGAGCAGAGATTCCCCTGCAGCCTGTGGTGAAGCCCATGGTGAGGCTGGCTGTGCCCCTGCAGCCCATGGAGCTCCACGCTGGAGCAGATCTCCACCTGCAGCCTGGGGAGGACCCCACGCCAGAGCAGGTGGATGCCCAAAGGAGGCTGGGACCCTGTGGGAAGCGAAGCTGTCACCTCATGGAAAGCCTGCACTGGAGCAGGCTCCTGGCAGGACCTGTGGAGAGAGAAGCCCAGGCTGGAGCAGGTTTGCTGGCAGGACTTGTGACCCCGCGGGGGACCCACCATGGAGCCGCCTGTTCCTGACAGGCGGCACCCCGTTGGCAGGGACCCAGGCTGGAGCAGTTTGTGAAGAACTGCAGCCTGTGGGAAGGACTCACATTGGAGAAGTTTGTGGAGGACTGTCTCCTGTGGGAGGGACTCCAGGCTGAAGCAGAGGCAGAGTGTGAGGAGTCCTCCCTCTGAGGAGGAAGGAGCAGCAGAGACAAGGTGTGATGAACTGACCACAACCCCCATTCCCCATTCCCTTGTGCTGCTCTGGAGGAGCATGTACAGAAAAATGGGGAGTAAAGTTGAGCCTGGGAAGAAGGGAGGGGTGTGGGGAAGATGTTTTAAGATTTGGTTTTATTTCTCATTATGTCTACTCTGATTTGATTGGCAATAAATTAAATTAATTTCCCCAAGTTGAGCCTGTTTTGCCCGTAATGGTAATTGCTGACTGATCTCTCTGTCCTTATTTTGACCCACAAGCTTCTCATGGTACTTTCTCTCCCCTGTCCAGCTGAGGAGGGGGAGTGATAGAGTGGCTTTGGTGGGCACCTGGCATCTAGCCAAGGTCTACCCACTGTAGCTGCTGGAACTCAATTGTCTTGAACTTTAAGTGGAAACTGTCTCTAAATGGGTAAAATGTAGTCAGTTAGAATATTTGTGTATTTTATGTTAAAATGATTTGCTATATCGAACTATTTTAGTTAGCTGTTTCATCAGATTTAGATTTGTATTTGGAAAGTTTCCAGTATGAAGCTCAACTACATTTCAACATAAAATAACGTAATGGCTATTGGATGTTAACACCAAAAATACATTGGTCTTAGATCCTTGAAACACTAGGATGACTCAGGTAGAAAAAGAAAACAGAGAGGCAAGTGATGCCTTCTATACACAAGCTTGAGGAATGGGCCTGTGTGAACCTCATGAGGTTCAACAAGGCCAAGTGCAGGGTCCTTCACCTGGATCAGGGCAACCCCTGGTATCCACACACGCTGGGGATGAAGGGATTGAGAGCAGCCCTGCCAAGAAGGACTTGGGCATACTGGACGTTTTATTTTGTCTCGAATTTGTAATATGTTTTTTTTTTTCTTCTGTCACTGTGTTCTAGTGAGTATTTGGAAAACTGAACATCCTGCTCCTTTCTCTTCAAGAGTGTGGCATTTACAGTTATCTCTAAAGTAAAAAAATGTAAATTCTTCCTCAGTTTAGAACACTTCATTGCCAATGTTTCTGAGAATAAAAATATTGTAGTGCTGTATCCAGAAGCTTCTTCTCTGTGGTACAGACTAGCTTTTGCCTGCTAGATTCCCTTTGTGAGGCTCATGTAGAGTCCTGTGGAGCTGCCCTCATTTGCCTTGTTTGATAGGTGACGTGAGGAGGTGTTTATTGTGGTACTGTGGTGAACGTATTTATCAGGTATGGCTTGTAGCTCCCCATGGTACATCTCATGCTAGCGTATATTTTCTACTTAAGTTGTATTTTGAAATGCATTACATATGACCTAATGAGGTACTGGTTGAAGACAGTGTAATTGGAGAGAAACCAGTAATAAAAATCTATTACGCATTTCTAATAATAAGTAGTGGATGGAATCAGTTCTCTGATTTTAAAAGTAGGCAGAAAATTAAACATAGTCCTTTTCTAAATTGCTTTCAGCTTGGCCAGACTTGTACGACAGTCTACCTTTGTAGTCTTGATATGTGAAAATTCACAAATATTTAATGGCAGTTACTGGAAGTGGATTTCT